GGTGACAACTTGAAGGTGAGATTTCAAGATCTGTTGACTATTCTCAAGGGAATCTAGGTATCTGTTTAGTCAGGTAGGTTGCAGGCAGGCAATCGTTGCTGCTGTAGATAAATCCGGAAGGCACGCTGCCCCTTTGATCGCTAGCTAATTCATGGGGGCTCTACTCTTAGGAGGTCCCATCACAAACATCCGGCTTTGCCTTTATACTCACTGCGTATTGCTCTGCGCCAGCCATGAATGGGTTATTTACATCCATCCCTACCTAGGTATGTATACGGCCTTGGCTGGGACGATTATGATACACTCGGAGCCCTGAGACGCTTTTTATTACTGGTGATTACTACAATCATTAGCGTTTACTAGGTTCAATGATACAGTGCTAATCAATATATGGATAGATTTCTACAAGGGTGTCAATTGTGATCAGGCTCCGAGAAGGAGACAATATATAGTCTTGGAAAAAAAAAAGCAATTCTAGTGATAATGGGAAGTCACTGTCTCGTTGCGTATTTGAGTTGGAATGGAGTATCCTCGCATATTCCTTCAAGGGCGCGAATAGCAGAGGAGGAAGATATACGTTGATGTAGCAGACTCAGGGGTCAATTACACTTTAGACCCTTGCTTTACAACTTGGAGCTAGGCCGGCCAAACCAGCAACCCGGGGAATTTTGTTTATCATGCATGCATGCTTACCTCGTGGTGAAGCTTTTGTTTAGAAGGAAGGCCGGGGAAGGTCCTGGCCGGCGCCTCTTCGTATGATATATTCGGCTTGAGAAATGCGCCGCTGCCCGCCAAAAGTGCAACCCTGTAGTCTTTCCCCGCACCCCCATATTCCCCACCATAGTTGAGAACAGCCACATCGTGTAGAGCCAGGAGAAACGCCGGGTGAGGTGCGGGTACGAAAAGGCCCGGTGACTTCAGTCTCAAATCATTCGTGCATGCATGAGCACGAACGGCTTTACAGTCGCGATGTAGTCGGAGCAGTATCATCTCATCTCGGAGATGGGGTCCCGAGGTTACGATAGCTTCTACCTACTTAAAGAATTATATTGTAGAGGCTTTTGCCCCGTGTATACCTGGGATTGAGCCCGGCTTGCACTCTCACTTGAACCATGGGGCTATCCGTTCTTTTGTCGTTCATTCTTGGGGTGTCGTCCCTCATTTGGACAAGCGGGACTTTGGCTTCTGATTTGCAAGGACAACGGCTATCTCCATCTCCAGCAAACCTCCTACAGACACAGCATGATATTCGCGATGGGCACCTTACTACGAGAACGGCTCAAACATACGTACCAAATGGTGAACCGTGGTATGATGTTGACGGGAATATGATTCAGGCTTGGGGCGGCAGCATTTATCAAGAAGCCTCGACGTACTACTGGATAGGGCAGAACAGCCCATCAACCGGGGGCCTGCCATCCAATATCACTGCGCTTGCCAAGTAAGCATTTCGTTCCTCAGTCATCCAGCTCTTGTCCTCTCGTGACGTAAATAGCTAACCTGGACGACATACAAGCTTGTACAAATCGACCGACTTGCTAAACTGGCAGAAGATCGCAACGCCGATCACAGTCTATACCCCGGACGTCAAAGGCAACTTGTTGTTGACCTACAGTAGATTGGAGCGTCCAAAGCTGATGAGGTCCTCTACCACTGGCCAATACGTTATATGGGCAGTATGCGCCTTCCTAGCGTCCTTATGCTTGTAGTGCAATGTTGATGAGTCTGATCCTTTCTAGCATTGGGAATTGGCCAACTCCTACACTGCATCGGAGGTCATTGTTGCCACTGCTAGCAGCATTGAGGGGCCGTATACCATAACAAATAAGGGGCATCATCGACCTGGCGCCGGTTTTACGTCGCCTACCGCTATGGGGGATCGAGTTGGCGGACTCAGGTATGACTGGAGCACGACTGCTAAGAACTCGACTGATACCACTCACCCATACATGCCCGTACTAGCTGGCTACCCTCCAACGGTCACCCAGTATGGCTCACCCGCCACAGTTAGTCCTTACAATCCAGCATATCTCCCAGCCTCAACTTACGGAGTCGTAACACTATCTGGGTTCCGTTTTAGCTCAACGCTTAAAGCTATAGCTGTCGTAATGACTCCGTGGAACGCCACTCTATATAACCAGTACGTAAGTGATTATAGCGTATCGGCAGCCACCTACATCGTGCGGTATCCTACTACCTCCCGCTCTTCTGTTGCTACGACTGTCTTTAATCTTGGAGATCCCGGCACCGAGAGATCTTCGCTGGTGACACCGGTTATTGCACCTACCTTGAGCGAGTCTAAATCAACCGCGGCGGTGCTTGTAAAAAGCGGTGATGCGGCGTTCATCACAGTGGCCACTGAAAATGCCACCATCTACTACACTACGGACGGTTCGACACCACTGAGCACGAATGCAAGCCAGATATACGCTGCTGGCACTCGAATCACGGTGTCTGGATCATCAGGGGATAAACTAGTTGTCAAGGCCATTGCTGTCAAATCAGGCCAGAGCAGCACAGTAGTAACCCAGACATATCAGATCGCTTCAGATCCATCACAAGTTCCCATTTTCGCGCCTATTATTAATTGGACGTCCGGTACCTACTCACAGACATCAATTGCCTTCCAGACAAACGGAATTAGGATTTACTGCCCATCATACATGACTAACTGCTACTACACCGTGGATGATCTCGATCCAGATCCGCCGATGTTGGGAGACAATCTTGGCTTCGGCTCCCGAGATCAGACCATTTGGCAAGACCCTCAAGATGGACTGCATTATCAGATCACTGCTACCGATAATCTCTACGTGCGTGTCTGGCAACTCAACGATGATCTTACGGATGTCGTGCCTGAGAGCGAGTTCGATGTCTTTGTCGGCCAGTCGCGTGAGGCACCTGCCCTGGTACGCAACGGGGGTGCAAGTGGCAAGTACGTATACATCGTGACGTCTACTCAAAGCGGTTGGTATCCCAATCAGGCAATGTACAAGCGAGCCACGAGCATCCAGGCAGGCTTTTCACTGTCCCGCGACAGCAAATCAGGATACCGAGATGGAACGTCATTGTGGTCTACACTTACCCCTATCGGCGATGCAAGCACCTTCGGCAGTCAATCAACATGGATCCTGAACATCGGAACTGATGTCAGCCCATCATACGTGTACATTGGGGACCGATATAACGTTCCTAGCCTTGCGCAGTCATCCTATGTATTTACTCCCCTTTATATCGACGACAATACGGCAGGGGAGAACGGGGTTTCTGGAAGTGGCAACATGACGCTCGTTTTCGATCCACAACCAGCCATTCAGGTGGCTAGCAATCGTATTGCTCAACCACCATGGCGGTTGCTGTCGCTGAACAAGCCCGTCTCGGCCACTAGTTCCATTGCCCTCACTGCTGCTCAGGCTGCAGCCGGCACCTACAACTACAGCGCATCTGTGGCCAACGACGGTGTCAATTTTGACGAGAATGCATACGACGCCGTCCAGCAATACTATCTCCCCGTGACTGTGCCGTATTTCTGGCAGGTTGATTTGCAAAAATCCTATGCTCTATCTTGGATTGGGCTGTCGTTTCGCAGCGTTTCGGGTTCGGATGCCGTGGCGCGGTATACGGCGAGCGCGAGCAAAGACAATTCGACGTGGACTCTGCTCGTGGACAACACGGGGAACGCTCTGCCTGGGTACAAGTCGCACATGGTGAGTGGAAGATACCGCTATGTTAGGATCGATGTCAGCAGCATCTACGACGTGGTTCATGGCACGTCGGCGGCTTGGGAAGCGGGATTGTATGAAGCCAGTGTCTATGGAAGTTGTTAAGGCTGTGTCGGAGCTGTTGTACAAAGTAGCGAATAGTAAACCGATTCGTCACGGTTATAAATTTATCTCGTGGCTGCCAAATCCAATACCAAAGCGAATCCGACATTTTTTATTGGCGAAGACATAAGAGGCTTCGGGTTGTTGATTAATATTTGATCAATATCTCAGCGGAGCCTTGAATTTGTACCAGACTCTTCAGGTTCGGAATCCTGCCAAGCTAGCCTGGGCCTTAGGAACGACGTGGAGCCAGCAAGATACCAGAGTAAGAGATAATCAAGAATCTCTCACGTGTCTTCGTGCCAATGATCACATGCTGTAGTATGCGCAGTAGAGATAGTCGCCAAGAGGCAATAGCCTCCTCATTACCCCTATTCGATAGTGGCTCGTCAGTTGTAGAATCTTTCGATACAGACCTATCACACTTTCAAGCACCTGCCTTTAGACCGCTTGGACCATAACAGACGAGACGAATGTCCCACCGCCGTTTTCAATAATCATATCACTTTCAGGTATCTAGATCTCTATCTCTAGATACACTCAGTTCATGACAAATAGAAAATACACTTAAGGATTATGAGGAAAAGCAATGCAAGCCGAGAAGCTCTCAATTCACTCCATGAGCACAATCCATGTAATTCAGATACTTAGATTATCGGCAACTTGAGTGTCCAATAACGTCTACAGCTCTGTCACAACGCATCCACCCCGAGCGATCTCCCAGATCCATGCTCAACTTGTACAAACCAGAGAGCCATCTGGCTCGAATTTTCTATAAGTCAGCAGCAAGATGATTTCTCATTGGGATCCAGAATTCCACTGCCACGGATGGAGAACGAATGTATGGACCGATGATGCTGCCAGGTCATAACTTCTATCCATAGACTCAATCATAGACGGTCTGCCTCCAAATTCCAACCTCTGTTGCCCCCACGTAATCCCCCAAGCAAGCCTACATGACTTGGTGGAGTGGTGGCTTAGAGTCAGCCATCTTTCTGTGGGACACTGACTTAAAACTCCATACCAGGGGGAAGCGGCGTAGCGAGTCAGTGCTCCACCACATCTCCTCCGCTCCATTTTCCAAGGGTTTCTCGCCGCGTTGGCCCAGCCACTAACATGCGGGTGGGGGGATTAGTAGCACTTTGCTAACTCCGGAATCCTCTCGCACCTCCGGGCGTGCTCTTGGGGACCCCGTGGCGGAGGCGTCCAAGGGAAAACCGTGGAGCCAGCGGCAAAAATCTCAACACGCCAGCCTGGTCCCCGCAAGCGACAGACTTACCACAGGAGAGAGCCAAGAGTGATTTGGTGTTTACGGCAGCAGCCTTCACTGCAGACCAGCTCAATCACATATATGCCTGAGGAGACTAAAACAAAATGAGCCTGGCATCTCCGTGTTATTCAACTATAAAGCCGAATCGTCCACTACCCTTCTATTTTGGAGTTTTCTTCTCAAACCCAGCCAGACAACTGAAACCTTACTTATCGGCAAAGGATCAGTCGCACCACATAAATGGAGCCTAATCACGACGGCAGGAGTAAGATGGACGAGTCCGAACAGGTCGAGAACGCCAAGCACAATCTGACATACGATGGGCAACTTGTAATGCCGGTGAACTTGGCTGCTCTCAGCGATGACGAATACAAGAAGCTCGGAAGAAAGGCAACCTTGAAGATGGACCTGGTCATCATGCCCATATTGGTGATCATGTACATTCTCAACTACCTTGACCGACAAAATATCGCATCGGCCAAACTCGCCAATATCGAAGGGGACCTGGGCTTGAGTGATGTGCAATATCAGACAGTAGTGAGCATCCTCTTTGTGGGATACAGTAAGTGGCATTCTACTCCGATCTATTCATCAAATAAGGAGCCGAGCTGATACGTCTTGTCTTAGTTCTTATGCAGATTCCTTCCAATATGGTGGTCGGTAAGATCAAGTGGCCAGGTGCTTATATCTGCTGCGGAATGGCGGCTTGGGGTGTCATCTCGGCTCTCATGTCTGTGGTACACAACTATGGTGGGCTTCTGTGCGCCCGTATCTTCCTTGGTGTGGTTGAAGCTATCTTCTTCCCTGGAGCATTATACTTCCTGTCTTCCTTCTACAACCGAAAGCAGTATGCCTTCCGTACCGCTATCCTCTACTCCGGCTCGCAGCTAGGTAACGCCTTTGGTGGCCTATTTGCTATCGGTATCTTGAAGTTAGACGGCAGAAATGGCCTTGAGGGCTGGCGTTGGTTATTCCTTGTCGAAGGTGTCATAACCGTTGGCCTAGCGATCACTTTTGCCTTCATCTTGCCTAACTCGAACGAAAAGATCCTCACCCTTTCTCCCATCGAGTGCGAGTGGGTGCGATGGAATCACGCTCAGGACCTAGGCCAACGAGATAACTCGAATGAGGTCACTGCAACAAGGGGCTTCATCATGGCGGTTTGCGATCCCAAGACATGGCTGCTAATGGGCATGCTTTACTGCGTAAGACCCCTCCCTCCACGTATGTTGTGATTATCATCAATACTAACTGAGTCTCAGACATACATTGTCGGTGCCGTCGTCAATTTCTTCCCCTCGGTTGTTGGTGGCTTGGGCTACTCCCGCAATACAACACTGGCCCTTACAGCTCCTCCTTTCGTTCTGTGTGTCATCTGCATGCTCATCAACGGTTTCCACTCGGACCGCAAGCAGGAGCGTTTCCTGCACATTGCCCTGCCACTTCTTGTCACGCTTGCTGCGAACATCATCGCGGTCTCAACTCTTCATATCGCCGCCCGATACGTCGCCATGATGCTGCTCCCCGCATCTTTCTACTCGGCCGCTACAATCATCATCTCGTGGATCACTGGAAGCTTGTCGCAGCCGTCTGTCAAGCGTGCTAGTGCCATTGCTCTTGTCAATGCCGTCTGCAACACGCCAAACATCTGGGGCAGCTATCTGTACTACAGCTCTCCGCGCTATCTCACCGCCTTCATCGTGAACGTCGCTGCGACAGGCATGGCGATTGCCTTCGCTGTGGTTTACCGCATCTACTTGGGTCGCCAGAACAAGAAGCTGGAGCGAGGCGAGGATATGGGTAAGAGCGGCCCGACCAATGCTCAGATCGTGGCTGGATTTCGGTACACTCTGTAAGCTCAAATAGGATAGACAATATTTGTATTGCGTGGCCTACGTAGTATGTCGTTCATGTGTATTAACATTCAAGTGTTGAATGGCAATAGCATATCCAAAGACTAGGTTGTTCAAAATTCTCCTCGTCCTATATTTGTAAATCAATGTAAACTGTTCCACACTTTGACATGACCAAGCCAGTCTATACGATGATCGGTTTGAGGCTAGTATGACGAGAAGGATCATAGCTGAGCAAAACTTAGCCGAAAGGCCTAGACACGTTGCGTTCAATAGATTGGAGTATCTATCTCTTAGTTTATTTGTTTTACCATTGAACAACCCATGCCTCTCTTGGTAATCTGTACTGGAAGGCCTGACTATCATAGACAAATTCAACTCATAAAAGATCGTGGTTCAATACGACTTTACCGACATCACGAACTGTACTCTAAAGATTTGCACTTCAAAAGAAAAACGGCAGACTTTCACGCTCCCACACACTTCTACTTGATATTCGCTGCAAAATGAGCTTGCTAGACCAAGAAAACTAGACATCACAAGAGCTTACTCTTCCTGACCCCTTAGGAAAAGGTTCCCCTCCTGCCTTCCCTGCCCGCGACGTGGAGCAAGACCTTTGGAGGGTTAGCGCGAGGATGCTTCCACCACATCCTTGCTATTTCCGACATCTGATCAGGTGTCCTTTTGGTGCCCACATCGAGTGTCAATGGTCCGTCGAGTCGTCCACCCACAGTGGAGCAATTCTTGTCGAGAGAGCCGGCTGATCCACCACATTGCTCTTGGTCTGAAATCCCATCATGGGGGGTCATGTGGGGGTTGATGGGGGTCATTGAGCTTATGGTCGGGGCAGTCTGCCGAAATCGGTATATGTGGGGTTTTTGGAGATCATGCGGAGAGTGCGGAGTCAGGAGGCTGATGAATTTGCTAATTCCCGGCACAACCCTTGTCCAACGATGCTTCCATCAATTGAAGTGTTTGTTTTCTGCTTTTTACTAGCTCTCATCTGTAACATTCTCGGAGTGTGTCAGCCTTCAATTCCTTAATTATTCAATACCCATCAATCAACACCACCGTCCTACACAATGCCTAAGATCAAGTCTGTCGAGTACTTCCGTGTGAAGCCAAGATGGCTTATGGTCAAGATCACGGATGAGAATGGCCAGTTCGGTTGGGGTGAGGGTACTCTAGAGGGGCATGATTTAGCTGTTGAGGGCACCCTGGAAGAAATGATTCCCAGACTTATTGGGCGAGAAGCAAAGTAAGAGCCTTGAAGCCATATATTTCTATTGTTAGAGTCTGACAGAAAGCAAATAGTGAAATTGAGAACATCTGGCAAACGTTCTGGAGACACGGCTTCTACCGTGGTGGTCCTGTCTTCATGTCAGCGCTGTCAGGTGTTGACATTGCGTTGTGGGATCTGAAAGGTTAGAGCAAATACAAAATTACTCAACGAACAAGAACTAACACGAATCCTCGACAGGCAAGAATCTTAAGGTACCGATTTACGAGCTCCTGGGTGGAAAGGTGCGCAATGAGGTTCAAGTATATTGCTGGATTGGTGGAGACCGTCCGGCGGACGTCGAGGTTGCTGCGTATGTTGCCTTGTGAAGCTTTGAGATGGATGGCATCTGCTGACACTATCACAGAAAGGCTCGTCTCGCACAGGGCCTCAAATGTGTCAAGATGAATGCAACTGAGGATCTAAATTGGGTCGATTCTCCCTCTGCCCTAGATGCTACCGTCGAGCGTCTCAAGGCTGTGAAAGCTGTCGGTCTTGATGCCGGTCTCGATTTCCACGGTCGTCTACACAAGGCCATGGCAAAGCAACTAGTCGCGGCTCTCGAGCCGCATCGGCCTCTTTTCATTGAGGAGCCACTTCTCAATGAGCACCCTGAAGCCATTAAGCAGCTAGCAGACCAGACCCGCATTCCCATTGCCTTCGGCGAGCGGCTATATACGCGGTGGGACGTTAAGCGTTTCCTTGAGGATGCCAGCGTCGATATTCTGCAACCCGATATTGCACACGCTGGTGGCATCAGCGAAACAAAGCGAATCGCTACGATGGCCGAGGCTTACGATGTCGCCATCGCCCCTCATTGTCCTCTTGGACCCGTGGCTTTTGCCGCCAGTGTTCACGTTGCGCTGTCTTCACCAAACTTTGCCATTCTTGAGATGAGCCTGGGCATGCATTACAACACCGAGGCCGGCGACGATATTGATCTGCTGACCTACATGAAGGACCCGAGCACCTTCGACATCAGCAAGGGTGGATATGTGAAGGCGCCGACTGGCTATGGCCTTGGTATCGAGATAAATGAGGAATTGGTGAGACAGATCTCTAAAGACACGAAGCCGTGGCAATGTAAGGTGTTCCACGGACCTGATGGTAGTATTCGCGAGTGGTAATTGCGCCGCCCCGATAGTTGGTTCGAGACATAGGATTTCTGTACTATCTTGAAAACAAAATGAAAACCCGGACATAGCGTAATTTCCAGAGGCAACTTGAAAGCTCTCGTCTACATAAAGAGGGTTTCCTCTATTTTTGCTTCACCTTGAGCTATGACAAGTAGATTCATAACGCCAGAATTGTGGTTTTTGTTTCACACTTTTACCGTATCCTAGTTTGATTGACATTTTGGCTCTCAAAATTGTTGTTCCTGTGGACAGTCTTTTGATTTTAAGATCTACCGGTTCACGACTCTATGATGACCTTCAATACTAAATCTCCCTTCTCATCCACTGGTTTCGCAGCCATGTCAAATGCTTGAACGGCTTTATCAAAGCCTTTGAAATGATGCGTAGCAAGCTTTGATATGTCTGGCATTCCACGCTCTCGTCCATTTGCCAGCAATTGTAAGCCATACTCGTAGGTATTCGCATATCGGAACACGCCCAGAAGGTCTACTTCCCGCAGCGCAGCCGCTGATAGTGGCAGCGTCTGAACAGGAGTGCCCATGCCAACTAGTAGCACAGCACCTCCTGGCCGCGTAGAATAGATAGCTGCCTGTACGCATGCCTCCACACCTGTGCACTCGAAAACGTAGTCATACTGGGCAGCGGCACCGTCCTTAGGAGAAGCACCGCCCTGTACAAGTAGCTGCGAGGTCTGCTGCGCCAGCGCGAGCTTGTCTTCCAAGGCATCGCTCTTGGGGCGCGTGCGAGGCACTTCCACGCCCGCGTCGGCGAAGCCGTTCGTCTTAGCGAACTCGACCCGCCGACCTTCGATGTCTGCAATTGTGATAGATCCTGCCTGCTCAGCTCTCAACACCGCCGCCGTGAGCATACCCACAGCGCCTGCACCGAGCACCAGCGCTTTAGAGCCGGGCTGAAAGCGTGCCCGTCGGACGGCGTGGATGGCAACGCTGAGGGGCTCTAGAAGCGCGCCCTCGTCCAAGCTCACGTTATCCGGTAGCTTGTAGCACCACTTCGCGGTGTGATTGATGCGGCCTTGCAAGGTCCCTTGGTAGTGAGGGAACGCCTTGCCCGAGCTACGGAACTTCATCTCTGGACACAGATTGTAGCGTCCGTCCAGGCACAGCTTGCACTTGTCACATGGAAGGCCAACCTCGAGGGCGACACGATCTCCTGGCTGGAAACCAGTGACATCGCTGCCTACGACCTCGACAATGCCTGAAGATTCATGACCGAGAGCTAGAGGTTCACGGACAAGGATGTCGCCGTTGCGGAAATGATGATAGTAATGCTGATCCGAGCCACATATACCTGTGCTACGGACGGAAACTTGGACTTCGCCAGGACCGGGAGGTGAAATTTTCCGCTCAACCTGTATGCCTCGTCAGTAAACAAAGATCGGTATGAGGTCATAGGACAACATCTAGACTCACTGTCCTCAGGTCTCTCACACCGTGAAGTACAGCGGCTTGTATCGTCAATTCAGACATGGTGTGTATCAATTTGGCAGGCTTGATATAATAAAATAGGGTAGGGGGCGGCTAGCAAGGTGTGTTCTTCACCAGGGGGTTTGCATCAATACAGCTGCGAAGTCTTGAGCCCTGTAGCCATCTACTCGCGTCAATGTTGATTTGAGATCAGTGACAAGAATGTTCCACCTGGTAGTCTAGTCTCGTACAGCTCGGTTACCAAGCGACTGGACCTAAGAGCCCTCATCTGTAAGAGCATGTCATTGGGGGTGCTTGGGGGGCAACATCCCACGCACCTTTGTGGGGGTCGGAGGATGGGGGCCACAGTTGGGAATATCAAGGGGCTAAACAAATGTACTAGAGTACATCTTCTCATAGTAAGGACTGCGAGTCTTTGGTGAAGCTCATCTATTCATTTTTACCCCATCTACATGCACGGGGTGATCCAGACTGCACCACACCTCCACGCGCACTGACTCCACAGCTTAGCTTTGCCGACCACACATGACGCACCCGTCACCTCCCCATCCATCCACCATCAACAGTCAAGATCTCGCCGTTAACGTACCGGGCGCCTCTCCCAGCCAGGAAGATAGTCGCACCCTCGAAATCCCCCGGCGTCCCCCACCGTCCCGCCGGGATCCGCACGAGTATCTGCTCCGCACGCACGGGGTTGTTGATGAGTGCCTCGTTCATGTCTGTCGCTATGTAGCCCGGCGCAATGGCGTTCACGCTGATGCCTTTGCTGGACCACTCGTTGGACAGTGCTTTTGTCAGTTGTGCCACGCCGCCCTTTGCTGCCGCATACGCGGGGACTGTGAAGCCACCCTGGAACGAGGCGAGAGATGCAACGTTGATGATGGCACCCCGGCGGCCGGTCGCGTCGGGAATCCGAGTTAGAAGATGCGCACCGACGTCACGGCAAAGAGTCCAGACGGTGCGGAGGTTGACTTGCATGACCTGGGATGGAAACAGAGGTTAGTTGAGGAGCCGTACAATGTTGTGAGTGGATCTTTTGATTGTAGCCTTGGCCGTGCATTGGGGATGCGCCGTCCTGAAACATACCTCATCCCAATCGCTCATAGGGAATTCGTGCGCCGGATGCCTTCTCTGAATGCCGCCGCATGTGACGAGAATGTCGATGTCGTGGCCGTCTTTCAGGATGCGCTCTGTAAGACCTGCGACAGCGTCCTGTGAGGCCAAATCCGCGACATAAACGAAAGCCTTGCGACCCAGAGCTTCGACCTTGTTCTTGGTTTCGAGATTGCTCTCGTTGCGCTGTACGAGGATGATATCGGCGCCCGCTCCTGCAAGAGCAAGGGCCATTGCCTGTCCGATTCCCCGCGTGCCGCCTGTGACGACAGCCACGGAGCCATCCAAGGCAAACAAATTTTGAAGATACGATGCCATGTTCGCGATTGATTACCCGTGTCTCGTGTCGTGAGGGCGTAGGTTGGGTAGTCGAGCAATTGTCTAAATGAGACACTCCTTTTACTTGTGCATGATGCACAGCTTGCCAGCGCAACTTCAACGATGGCCCCGTCTCAGACTCGACATACAAACGTAGCCCGTTGATACCAAAATCACCCACTTTACTCCACTGTTTCGGCGATCAGCTGCCCCAGAGGGGGTTGCACCGGATTTGAAGCGATTATGTCACTTTGTTGTGGGGGAGGGGAGGAGACCACAAACAGACCGATTGTCGGATGAAGGGTATCAAGGCACTTCAATGCACTTCACCTCCGATTTCATCAGGACCCCCCCAAGCAGCTTCGATTATTTCATTCCGATGCCGCTAAAGCCCCATTGCCGCCTCTTATCCGAGTCATGCGTGGTACCGTCCACGATTCACGGTTCGGAAAAGGCATCGCTAATGAGGGGTTGGCGGGGGGCGCTGTGCCGCAGGATTGGCTCACTCACCCCTGTCACGGCCAAAAATGGAAATGCTAGACTTAACCCCCCACGCCTCCATGAGGAAGCATAGCCGTGTAGTAAACACATGGCACTATCATCAGTTCGTGGCCTGCGTGGGCAGTTTAGCACTGGCGAAGCACGTGTCAAGTTAACGAGACGAAGGATTTTGAGAGAGTGTGATTAAGTCCGGATAAGTCGCGTGGGGGTCAAGCTTCGAGGTCATCGTGGTCACGACGACTACAGTGAAGAAAAATGTTGCAGTCTATTGATCCACCTCCGCTAAGCCAAAAAGCTGTGTCACTCATACGACCTTCTCTTGATCGCGTCCCTCTTTCAAAGCCGGAAAGGAAGTGTTTACATTTTTATTCTTGAGCGAGGCTCTCTGATTTATCACTTGGTAGGGTAGGATCATAGGCAGTAGGATCATATTCACCGAACACAATGTCTTGTAAGTCAGAAACAACTTTCGACGGAGACTGTTAAATCGGATCAACGCGCTTACAATACTAGCCAAGCATCTTTCCAATGACATCACGGCCCTGGTCCAAGCCAGTCTGAGGTCGGCAACACTACTTAACCCCCAAGTCGGGTTTGACTCGGAGAACAAGACTGTGTACCTCCGCAGCGCCTCATCCTCCGATAATGTTGCGATTGTTTCTGGTGGTGGTTCCGGACACGAGCCGGCATACGCTGCTTTTGTTGGACATGGCCTGCTCTCAGGAGCCGTAGCCGGCTCTATCTTTGCTTCGCCCTCGGCCGATCAGGTCTTCCAGTGCCTAATGCGCCTAGGCGCAGAGAAACCCGGGCGTGGTATTTTAGTCATCATTATGAACTACACAGGCGACGCTCTGCACTTTGGCATGGCGATAGAGAAGGCGCGCGCACGGGGCCTGAAGGCGCAGCTGCTCATTGTAGGCGACGACGTCGGTGTCGGCAGAGCCAAAAGTGGCCGGGTGGGCCGTCGAGGACTGGCTGGAACTGTTCTGGTGCAAAAGATTGCGGGCGCGTTGGCTGCCAGGGGGTAAGATTCGAGCTACGAGGAGCTCCCATCAGGGTCGTTGTAGAGAGGACGCACTAACATGGCTCACAGGGCCGCTATTGAAAAGGTGTTTGAGATGGCATCGCTCGTGGCTTCAAATGTTGCTACAGTTGGCGCATCTCTATCTCATGTGCACGTACCTGGCCGGGTAGCCTCTAAGGACGAGCTTGACGGTAATGATGAGATCGAGATCGGTATGGGTATCCATAATGAGGAAGGTTTCGGGCGTGTGAAGACAGATCTGCAGGGACTTATCTCGATGTTATTGAAGCAGCTGCTAGACACCTCCGATAAAGACAGAGGATTTATTGAAATCAAGAGTGGCGAGCCTGCTGTTCTTATGATCAACAATCTGGGCGGACTGAGCCAGCTAGAATTGGGAGCAGTGACAACTGAGGTCTACAAGCAACTCGGTGACAACTATGGCATCATTCCGAAGAGAGTGCTTGCAGGAACATATATGTCCAGTCTGAATGGCCTCGGGTTCAGTGTCACATTACTCAAGCTTGTTAACAAAGACTTCGTGGAGCTGCTTGACGATAAAGCCGAGGCTACCGGCTGGATACCGCCAGCTCCTCCCGCCAGCTGGAAGCTGCAGGGATCGTCGGGCAACGACCAGACCGAGAAGCTGGACTTCAGCGAGAAGGATACTCCGAGCAATCTAACCGGTAAGTCACGTTTTTTCAAAGTAACATTGCAGTCACTAAACCCTATCACAGTCAAGCAAGCAGATGTCCAAAAGTATCTTACCATAGGCTTGAAGAACTTAATAGAAGCAGAGCCTGAAGTGACAAAGTATGATACCCTTGTCGGTGATGGAGATTGTGGTTTATGCCTCAAGGTTGGGGCCGAAGCGGTGCTATCTTATGTTCAATCTCAGCCGACCACAGATGCCGTCCAACTTGTCTCACAACTAGCCCATGTTATCGAGAAGAGCATGGATGGTACGTCGGGCGCTCTTTACGCCATCTTCATCAATGCTCTTGCTACCAAGCTTCGCGAGGCCGATCGCGAGGCACAGCCCACACAGGCCACCCCTGTTATCTGGGCCAAGGCATTGCAAGGGGCCATGGAGGCCCTTGGCCGATACACACCCGCCAGGCCGGGAGACCGTACCGTCGTGGATGCTCTAGCACCATTTATCGAGGCTTTCACCTCCTCAGGAGACATTAGCACAGCCGTTCAGGCGGCTCGAAAAGGCTGCGAAAACACTAAAGGAATGGAGGCGAGTTTGGGTCGCTCGGTCTACGTGGGCGGAGATGAATGGAAGAATTGTCCTGATCCTGGCGCATTTGGGTTGGTGAAATTTCTCGAGGGATTTGTAGGAGTGTAATTGTCAAGACATAGCTCAATCTGCAAAAATAAAGATGTAATTCAGCCTGTGCTTCCAAATAATCAAGTTGAGGAATCGACCGTCTACTCCTGCCTATAATGGTGTTGGGAAAGCGTTACTGACATTTTCACAGTCAAATATGTAATGGTGAGCAGTTAGTTAGTCCCCCAAGTCCTCTTAAGTGTGTGGTTGTGATGATGCATATAGATCCATATTCGACAGAAGAACTAGTGCATCTTAAGCCGGGGCATTCATCTTTGGAGAAGACTTGCACTTTCGTAACAAAATGAGGATATGATTGAAAGGAATCCACCTAATCAAAGTACGATATGCCAGTAGTATGACTAGCATAAATAGAGTTCAATCCACCGAAGCAAAGTTAAACGAGAGGTTTTAGAAGTAGTGGGTATCGAACGAACTACATCTTGTCGTAATCACATCTGATGGTCATCGTCAACCATAGGAGAACCACCACACCACCTATTTCAACCGAAGTATATCTAGACCGTATTCCCTTCTTAGGCTTGCTTCTCAAATGCCCTTTCTGCAGTGACTAGCTCAGCAAAACCCTCCTGCTGCGCCACCAGCCTCTCTTTAGACGGCATCACACACGGCCGCCTAGGCTCGCCACCATAGCCATAGTATTTGCGGAGCGCCACCTTAACAGATATGAAACCTCCTTGGATTGCAGTCCAGTCTCCACGTGCGACAATAGCTTGCAGCTCTACCGCCTGGGCTTTCTTCCCGCTCTCCCATAGCCGCATCAGCTCAAGGCAAGTCAGTGGCGCAATGTTAGCAAGACCGGCAATCATGCCCTGCCCACCAACGGCCAGTGTCTGGAGCAGGAAGTCGGCACTTCCACCAAAGGTACGGAAGTTTGTACCGGACGTGCCTGCCACAACGCGAGCCAGCTTCCCCGTGTTACCGCACGTCAGCTTAACTCCAGCGATATTGGGGTACTGGGACAAGGCTAGAATGGTGTCTGAGGTCAAGTCCAACCCTGCACATGCTCCGGGGAAGTTGTAAATGAGAACCGGCAATGGTGACGCATCGGCAACGGCCCGGAAGTGCGAGATAATGTTCTCAGTCGAGAGAAGGGAGCCGTAGTAGGCCGGAGGGAGGACTAAGACATGCGAACCGCCAGACCGTGCAGCCTCCTCGCAAAGTTGTATTGTCTCTCGCGTGCTCTGGGCCCCGCATCCGACGATGAGTGGCATATCCTTATAGCCTGCGGCTGTCAGAGCACCGCGAGTGGTTTGTGTGACGAGCATCCGCTCGGTGTGGTCTAGATGAACAGCTTCACCATTGGATCCGTGCGTCACCAGTCCCGTAACCCCGGCCTTGGCCAGGCGAACGGCGTGGGACGCTGTGGTCTCAACATCAATAGCGTCCTCTGGTGTGAAAAAGGCTACAGTTGGGACGTAGACGCCGGGGTTCAGGGGGTAGGAGGATGAGGTAGTCTGTTGGGCCGTTTGTCCGTTGCCGTGCCTGCCATTTCCGTTGAAACCGTTGTTATGCCCGTTGGCGTTGCTAGTAGAAGCGGGAGAGTGAGGCATGACGACGTGATACAATGATCAAGAAGAACGCTAGAACAGCAATTTGGATGATAATACCGTGTGATGTTTCTTTAGGTTTGTAGGCGTCGAATGCAAGGATGTCCCCAGATAGAAAATGCAAAATTGATCGACCAGTACAATTACTCAATGAAACTAATTGACGGCAATGCTCTCGCTCATCTGTCTAAATGATCGTATGAGCGGACTTCATGTAATAGGAAGGGGTGCTTCAGGTCTCCGGTTCTGGAACAACATCTCCTGCGCCGCAAATCCCCGACGACGACGGGCTATTACCGGAACTCTTCTTACGTATACCTGATCACCAATGCGTTCATCAGGTTAACAGGTCAAGAGTACCAAGATGGTCCCCCACGAGCTCATTGGGGGCATTTTGCAAGTGAGTAGCGTTCCCCCACGTAGGAATGCCGAGCTCCACAACTACACCAGTACTTCGCCCCACAGGCAACACCGGATCAAACGATTCGTCCTCCGCTCTGGGGCCGATCCAGCGCTTGCATGACATAATGGAATCTCTTGTACCCTCAAATGTAGAAGATCTTTAACTGGCGTGTCTGTAACAACTCCTGAAATGTAAGGAGTGGCGGCCCTACCACTGTGCCTCAGTGAGGCCTGTATACCGAATACAACTGCAACTAGACTTCTACGTTCACCAAAGTGTGGAGACGTCAGTGTTTCCGTCCAGTATCCGTCCAACGGTTTCTGTTCGTGAACCGAGAACGATTAGTCTCCGCACGAACATTACATGCGAAGTACAACTTGGCTTTATGGAAATTAGGCTGCTCAACCAACATCATAATATCTTTGTCCTGGATGAATCACTAGAATGTTTGTGCTTTCATGCAATATTCTGCTGGTGATTGGTGGTTTGTACCTGAGTAAACTGTTGATCTTGAGACTTGCAAGACAATCAGGAAGTTTCCATGATAATCACTGCTACACCAGACCAAATGCCCGAGACATCCTCGACATAAGGCCAACTCGAGGCTGAAGAGATTGATGTATCAGCCACAAATCATGTACCTTTGCTTCCCCAAAAATCGGAACAAACAACTCTTGAAATTGACTTTTATATATACCACGACTAACAGTGGGTAATCTCAGACCATACTCAAAGAGCAGTTTGGTCACCTCGAAAGTATCATCCCTAGATGCATAGAATCCTCGAGCAAGGAGTGCCTGATTGTTAGCCTCGTCAGTTCCCATTACCTTGGCTCCATCTCCGAATGCGCCAATCGGCACTATACTTTTCACAAAGTATGCTCTGTGATATTCCTCTAAGAACCTCAATCCAGTCTCAGAGTCAGTCGGCTTGCATCCTAAGGATAGCAAAGTTTGTACAGTTTTGATGTTCAATGCTGGAGTACGCAATGTACCAATCAATCCTGTTGTCACTGCGCCTTTCGTCGTAATGGTGCGTCTGGGCTCAAGAGCTAAAGACAAAGCCGAGAAGCCATACTCATAAAAGGTGCGTGATGAGTTGGCTTTCCAATTTCTCTCTACGAAGCCCGTCATATCGGTATAGGCTGCCCAAGCAAGAGTTTGTAGATCGTCAGGCAAGGCTAGCTTGTCGGAAAGTGCACCCTCAATGAGTATTGATGGCCATCTGGCCGTGTACCGAAAAGATGTCGTCTTTACAAACTGTTCTACAGCTTGGTCTGGGACTTCGCATTCATTCGCTTGTACGAAGCTCCAGAATTGTGTGAGCGCTTGCCACAGACTCACATGCCTTGCGGGAACAGAAGGGCCGGTAGGGCGGTCCTGGTAAGCCAATGGATCAAATGCCTTGGGGGACTGTGGTCGAAAGTGGAGCTGCGGCACGAAGAATAGATCTATCGGGTATTGCTTGAATAATGATAGAAGTATCATGGCATATGATCTGACAGGGGAGTAGCTTTCCGCCGCTGTCTGAAGCTGAGCCAGGTAGTTATCCCTCAAGAAGTCTCTGACCGTTCTGTGTAGGAAACTAACATGATGAAAATGCACACAACTTCGTGAGTAGTTTACGTTGACCCTGGGTTGAAGAAGGTCTTTGCAACGGTCGTTGATACGGGTGATCGCAATGTTCTCGACTTCAGTTATGCGAGATTCCCAAAGGCCAAAACTCGTAAATGCTGGAGAGTCTTCTATCCGGACATCAATTGCATAATTAGGATCGTAATTCTCGGCTTCAAGATATCTGAAAGCCACAAGCGGCACTGGCTCAAGACCAAACGTATCGAGACTCAGAGTTAGTAGAAACAGTCGAGCAGTTTCGCGCCTATATATCGGATCGATTCTCTCGAAGATTCTTCGAAAATACTCGTCTAGTGTTGGTGGCATAGCGTCTACTCTTCTTTGTAGATGCTCAAACGGCTCCTGAGATTGAAGGTCTCGTTTGAGGCTTCTCACAACCAAGAAAACCCACAAGAACACCCCTTGTGCTCTTGTCGCGACTTGATAGATAATATCCCTACATCGCCTGTCCCTGTCTACACTACTTCGAAAAGCAGGGCTTTCCGCGAGCTCGGCATCGATATAACGTATAATATCAGGCTTTGTTAGATCTTCTACGACGAGGCCGCTACAAGATCCGAAAGCCTCGCGAAATCTGTTCCAGGGTCTACTGGAAGCGCAAATTTTGATTCCAGGACGAAGTGAGAGTCGCTGGATTGTCTGAATGATGTCCTCTTCGTGGCCGTCATACTCATCGAGGCCATCGATGAAGAAGCAGAATTTTGTGGTGGACACAGCCACATCAGGGAGTCGAGCGAAAGTGTCACGTAATTCCCGTACCGTCCACGGCTCCAAGGGCACCCTCCCACGACACAAGTCCAACGCAAGATCAACGTCTGCTTTTAAGATCTGGAACAAGAGACTCTGCAATAGACCCTGCTGTGATTTCTGCATTCTAGTTCCTTGATTCCAGAAAAACACATGAGCCGTAACCATTTTGTTACTTTGTGCCCACTCGAAAAGAAGGCGATGCGTTGTGCTTTGGTCGTAAACATACTTCATAACGGTTGATTTCCCGCTCCCAGCTAATCCGCTGATCCAATATATTCCTGAGTCGGACCGTAACCAGTCAGGAAACGACGTTTTAGAATTATCGAACATCCATCCCAGAGTTCTCTTGTGCGCCTGATCGATGTCTGAATACCGCTGATTCATGTCGGCGAACACGAGACTTTGTAGCAAGCCTTGATGCAATGTTGCTTTCCTGCTGTCTTCGGCCAACCGCTTAACAAGGTTGAGAATATTAATGCTTGTTTCTTGGAGCTCTGATTGGATCTTCCTTCTGGTGTGGTCAAACTCCGCTATGACTGCAAGCCCCAAAGTTCTTGCTCGTTGATCGAGTCCGTCTATCATAGTCACTATGGATGACAGTTGCTCATTCCGGGCTTCGGCGGCCTCCCGGTCCAGCACATGTTGCAGTCGGATTCTCAGGCGCGCATCTAAGTCTCTGAGTCTACTCGCAAGTCTCTGGATCTCGCCTTTCTTCGCGACGTTCTGATACGCGACCCTCAAGCTCTCTAGCTTTCTCGAAAGTGCATCATCGCGGGCCACAAGTTTGCTAACGAGCACGTTTAGTTCAGCAGCTATTGAGTCGCATTCTACTGAGTAAGTCCGAATTGCCAGCTCATCTGTAGACAGCGAACCGGGTTTAAAGGTTTGAATTTGATCACTCGTGTTCTTGATGTCTTCCAGCAGTAGTCGGATGTCACGCGCTTGGGTGGACTGTCCCGACTCATAGATCTCTTTGGCGCTAGCCAAGAGAGTCAGGCCATGTTCGATGAACTGGAAGATATTGGCCACCAGACCGAGCATGGCAAGTGCTTCTGCCATGGTCCTGTTCTCATACCGCCGTTGACATGGCACAAGGCTTTGAAGAAGTTCGAGATGACTAAGGCAATGAAATGTGTCGCCTATTTCAGGTGGCGGTGTCTAGGATTTGGCCCCCAATCTCGTCAGACTGGTTAGCCTAATGGGGGCTGCACATGTATGGTGCAAGCACATGCGCGCGCGCGCTTGCCGCCCTGTCAGAAGTTGTTCTTTGTGTATTGATTGCTGCAATGCCTTGTTGTCCCAGTCCAATCATATCTTGACTGCTTTTCCCAAGCTGCGGCTGATTTTTAGTGAGCCAGTTACCAGAGCTCATACTTTTCTGGAGATTACCAAATCGCGGGAACGCTGAACATCGTTAGGAACCAAGTTGAGTTTCATTTGACTATTGCCTTAGACTACCTGTCTCCATTGGTCGTTTGAACCGATGTTTCTGTGACCACTATGATATGTTTGGGGCTTCTCTTGGCTGTCTCATTCAGTCCTAGCTCAAGACTCTCGTCTGACCGAGCATCTGCTGAACAATTTGTGTATACTCCTGCTTCACTTTGCCGATTGTCCATTGGGCTCAGCGCAAGTTCCTCTTCACTTGTCGTCTTCTGCGCAGGAGTCTTAACTCGGTCTATCCTCCGTTTCCCAGTACCAGGACCCGTTTCTCCAGACCCGTATCTCTCATACAGACGGGGAGTGTTATGTGGGCTTGAAGACATGGCAGGGATGAATTGAGCAAGAACCGGGCGAATAACTGGCAAACTGGAGCAGAGGATCGCACAATTGAGCTCGACGATGGACCAGATAGCAGCGTCTATGTTGTCCCACGTTGGATCGTCGCCAACAGCAGCTTCTCGGAGAAAGGTTATTCGTATGATGGAGATGATGCAAACGCTGCCTGCGTTAGGGCCATATTCGTTTATAGTGGTATTTATACTTACAAAAAGCCTAGACAGAAGACACCAGTTACCAAGAAACGGCGACGTCTTGGGAGCTGAAGGTTCCAGACGGTCGGCAGTGGAATCATGAAAACGAGGAAGTCGCTGAAGATGTTGACGCTAGATGAGATATACCAGACTGGGAGAGTGTTTAGACACCATTTCGAAGCTCCGGGAATGATGGAAGCGATCGGGACGCAGGCAACACCTTGTAAAATGTCTTGGATCACAGCCCACAATGCAACGACATAAATGCACCAGAGACACGCTTTCTGGATTACATGGCCAGAGAATATGCGACGGTATTGTATCAGGAAAGAGATCTTCACAATGTTCATGCCGAGGTTGTATAGGATGATATCTGCAAAGAGAATCTGGGATTGGTTAACATAAATCTATCTAATTCAGGGGTGAAGCAAACCTTGAGCTGTTGGAGGCTGTCAGAATCTGATACCATCCAAACATGACGGCCTAAGCCAAAATGGGCCTCTATTTATATGGTCAGCATGATGAATTGGTAACTGGAGGACATCCTGCAATGTACCTGCACACTTCAATACTGACACTGCAATGGACAGAACCTGCGCAGCTAACATGGTCCAGTCATCCCAGCCAGCGACTTTCGATATGACGAAACGTGTATAGAAGCGCAATGCCATGACCAGTGTTGAGGCGGCAGCAAATGCGACTGCTATCCCAACCACCAGCGCAGTTCTAGACTCCTCGTCTTTCGACCCATCATGGTTGATTCGTGACATCATCTCGGTCTTTTTCGACTGGGAGGTGCTCTCGGCTTGGAAGGGTGGTAGTGCGAGCAATAATGCTCAACTTTCTATGTCCGGCGATTTGCCTAGCATCTTTGGTCGACGGTTCACGATGGCCGTCCAAGCAACGATGACTGTGAGCAGTTGAGGATGGATATGAGTCGCATTGGGATCACAGCGCCTCGAAATGGGACGAGAGGGGGCAGACACGCTATTTCAGTGACAGATGTGTTGGAGATGTTCAGACCTCTCAACTAGTGTCAAATAGCAACACCAAGAATACCTCCTTCTTGTGACAGATCAGCAAGTCCAGGGCCATTGTAGCCTCTATTCAAGACTGAAGCCATCGAAGCCTTCCCCCTTGTTCCCTGTCCAGGCTGCAAGTCAAAGCAGTGTCAAATAAGAAGACCTGTCTAGCGTGATCCAAAAATCGTAGCTTGCAGGGATCGCGACCTAGTCACGCTGTCACTGTCAAAGCGTCGACAGGTTCCCCCAGAATCCTCCACAAAGCCTCGAGACCCGACAAACTGGACCGAGCCTGTCAGCAGGTGCCACGATGCTACAATCAAATGTCACTTTCAAAATGATCAACAGGGAAGGCTACATAGAGGACAAACCATGAAGACGATTGATGTGAGCTAGAGACAACAGGGTAGTTACCGCTTTCGTGATGTATGTTCAACTGCTCTAGGGACGAGGAGGATGGCAGATTACACGGCCAAATCTAGACCTCTCAAGAGCTCGGCGAGGCGTTTTGGCTAGACACAAGCAAGCCGCTGGAGAAACCGCCAAGCGATGCTCCCAAATGTCACCCGGGCCATTGGAACCTCTCCACTCGTAATTGCCAGCAGGCGTGGTCAAATCAGCTCCGGACGTGGCCTAGAGCATGAATATTGAGGCGTGCTAGGGACGACGCCGTTCGCGTAGCGTGGGTCCGTGAGCTGGGAGCATGCTCACACTTCCAGATGGCATCGGCCTCCATTTGATTGTGCTGTTATTGTCATGCCGTACTACTAAGTTTAATGCCTCTTTACAGTCAAGTCAGGGACCGCGAACATATACAACTTGAGCTGCTAGCCAGTAATCCGAAAGACACACTTCTCTATCTGAGGAGGGCAGGCTGTGAGACTGCCTAACCCCGTAGCACGACCACATCAGGTATGAATAAAGGTCGACATGGCATGCACTCCTTTGGTGTCCACCGTTGAGCATCGAACAACCGGTGTCAGACTGCGTGATTAGGTATATAGAACGTCGATCTTGCTACTATCTCCGTACAGCAGTCGCTTCTCTGCCTTACCCCATCGTTACAGAAGTTAACTGCACTAGACCTTGATGAGCTGCGCGTGTAGGATAAATGCTCGTATTAACATTGATGCTGGAGAACGTATACACTCTATCTAATATCATACATCGTTTATGTCGCTGGGGACAAGCGGCCACATGCTGGTCTCCCATCCAGATCGATGCCACGATGGGGGGTTTGGTCATTCGGCACACCGTCATGGATATGCCTTACTCTATATCTTCAAATTTCGTTCCGTACCAATGCAAAAAATCAACTCGATCCGACTCCTATTCAGCAGACTCGTCTTCGTTGGTCCATGCTGTCAAGATGCGCGCTCGTAACAAACCACCATCCAGCAACACCCAGCAAATGTTGTCGAAAGCCCGGCGGGCGAGCTCAGAACTCGTTTTCTGTTCGGCGCTCGCCAGGCCAGATCAGGGGATATTCTCGTCTAGTTCTTTGACCAGACGACTCGTATAATAGCCTGGCCCTTGCCGTTTCTTCTCCTCACGTAATGTAATGTCACCGCGCCCGTCTTCTCGTCCACATCAGCCTTCTCGATCATAAACTGGACCTTGCCGTCGTCCCTTGGTTTGAGGGGGTCGAGGGTGTACTTCCAGCTGGACTGGATGTCCCACAGGGTGATCTTCCACGTGTGCTCCATGGCGGCCTCGACCTGGCTCGCGAGCTCGGTCTCGTTGTAGCTGTACTTGACGATGGAGAAGCCGTTGGTCATCTGCCAGCCGTCGCGGAAGGCGTAGCTCTGCAGGACGCAGGGCTGGCCGCAGGCGGCGCTGACGGCGGCGGTCAGCGGCATGTCGTGGTGGTGCCAGCTCTTCCAGTGGTGGACGCTGACGGGCTGGGGGCGCACGGCCTCGTAGAAGCCCGTCACGTCGCCGTGCAGGTCCAGCTGGTACAGGCTGTGCTCGAACGACAGCTTGGTCGTCGTGTACTTGAAGACGCAGTCGCTGACGCGCCCGTCGCCGTAGATGTTGGGCAGCGCCACGCAGTCCTCGGCGTGCGGGTACAGCTCGCGCAGCAGTGCGACTGAGATGAAGACGCCCGCGCCGCCAATGGCCCAGATGCCGCCCTCGTCGACGTTCCACTTGTTCTCGGAGGTGGTGCCGACGTAGTAGGGCTGCGTGGTGTCGTATTTGGAGAGCATTGCTAGGAGCGTCTCCATCTGGAAGAAGAAGGTGTCGTCGTCAATGATGCTGCACCATTTCGTCTTCGGGGTGAGGCGGTCGTGGATCAGGCCGACGAGCGACACGTAGCGGTCGATGTAGCCCAGTTCGGACTCGATGATCTCGACGGAGACGCCGGCCGTTTCGAACTGTGATGTTATATTCGCGGCGGAGGGCTCCTCGAGGTTTTCGGGGTTGTGCGGCTCGACGATGATGACGAAGTGCGCATTGGTGTGCGCCGCCCAGTGCTTGAACCCTCGGAGGGCATCGGGAAGGCGCTTGAGGGTCGTGGCAGCGCCGAATATTATGTGCGACGCATCGGGCGTGGGGTTGTTCACGTATACGTCGATCGTGGCCGTGGCCGATGTCTTTGTGAGGGTTTGGAGGAGCTCGTCTTCAAAGGTCGAGACATTGGCGGCGGGAGTGTCGAGCTGGACCTTTGAGAACTGGGGGAGGTCAATTGGGATGTCGTACTTAGTCGCGGGCTTCTTGTTGGAAGGGGAGGCGTGCAAGTTGAGGGTCGCGATCTCTATCGACGGGTTGAGGTTCTTGATGCCAAAGAGGTCGTATGTGGGTGGTTCAGGCTTGGGGGCGTCTGGTTGGGGGCCGAGGCCAGCGACGGTCCGCGAATGACGGAAGCTGACGGCGAGCCACAGCGCTACCGTCGTGAAAAGCAGCGCTGCAGCGACCTTTGACTTCTTGGCCGTCCACCGCGACATGGTCGAGTGCAAAAGCGCGCGCATCTTGCCTCCTTCTCCTTCTAATCCTCCCGATCCTTCCTTCTGCTTCGTCCGATCCGACACGTCGTCACCTGATGGGGAAGGTTTCGAGTCCAGTTCGCATTTCGGTATATAGCGCCGCGATTAGAATTTGGTTGGTGTCGTGGGGACAAAAAGGTTGGTAGATTAGGCGGGTTGGCAAAGAAGAATAGGGGAGTGAGTGAGTGGAAGTTGGATGAAAACACCAGCACCGAAAACCCACAACCAAATCAAGCAATGAATTAATGTATCCCAATCTTGATCTTGTCCTCATTCAGGAGTAGTCCCGGGGGGGCAATTGCGTAGTAGGCCGGACAGACGTGATCGGAGCTATCAAGAAAAAAATATCTCCCCTAAAAAAAGGCGCCGGGCTGCTTTCTCTGTCGTCTCCCACCCTCCTACTAGCTTATCCACCCATCCCCCGTTCCAAGATTTCTGCACGCACCAACACCGAACCAACAACACTACAGACTACCTACTGTACCAACTATCTATCTAACTACGGCATAGTGACTTTAGTTGGCTAGTAGAGGAGGGTGTCCTTGCACTGCACTTCGCGGACATGACAGACGAGATTGCAGATAAGGAGGAGTGCCCGGTGATTATGATGATGATGATGATGGGTGGATGGATGGATCCTGGTCCAGGAGAACTTCTCCACCCGCCGCCCACATCGTTGGTTTCGGGTCCGTTTATCTCGTCGGCACTCATCTCCTTTTCAGTTCCTCATAAACACCTCAGATTAATGACCCTCAAAGCAGATGCAGATTCACACTCGACATGAAGACATATATGATAAGCTTAACAGCTGCTCTTAAGAAGCTGTCATGCTCGCCTACCGGCTGAAGGGTTAAGCATACCCTTAGCTACATTAACAACCAAGAAAGCCGCCCCCCGGTGTTGATGTCGCGATATTGCGCGTTTACCGCACACCATGCCTCAAATCATTGATTGCATATTACATACAGCCTGCAGCCTGCAGCCTCCAGCTTGCAGCCAACGCCGTGGCGGCGGCCTCTATCCAAATGCGAACGTTCCAGGCCCTCCAAGCAAGCTTACCGGTTCTCACTCGCGGTCTCGCACCCTCTACCAGTACTCTCCTGCACCCGAGCCCCTCGGCTAAAATGAGTCGCTCCTATGTGATGCCAGTCCAGTCTGTGTGGTCTTCGAGTCGAGATTGTCTTCCTGCGACGTCATGTCGCTAATAATCAGGCCTCACGGACGGAGTCTGACAAGCAGAAAAGATAACGTTAAGGATAGGGAAGGATGGTGCTAGTACAGTGCCTGGATCGCCAAGTCTTTTACTAACACTTCCCGTTTCCACGATTCAGGGAAGGCCAATTGGACCCTCCTTTCTTCGTTAGCAGGTGGCTTCCACGAGCTAGTGGGCATTGGGCAATCTGCATCGCGCAAGCTGCAGGGCTAATGACTCCATCCGTCGCATTCCAGGTAGGTCACTTATCGTACTGTTTGGCATGGGTTGCGACTACACTAATTATTGGATTCGGCACCCTGTCATGTTTCATTTCCTCGACATCCACCTACTGCAAAGTATTCGTCTCGACGCAGGGGCCCTTGATTGTTGTCTTTGTTTCTTTCTTCTCTCTACAGTACAGATAAAATGACCAGCCATTGTCCACTGCATTCGAGCACGTGCACGCATTCCATCGACTATCAATCGAGTCTCAAGCAAGGGAAGTGTGAGGGGCTGCGTTTGAGAATGAAGCAAGAATAGAAGCCTTGAACCCGTTTGCGGGGTATGCTACATCGTTACGCAGATCTGACGATGTCATGATTTCTAGAATGATAAGCGTCCAGACGCTCAAACGGTGGCGACATCAGGACAGCTGTGTGATCGGATATGCTCTTTCTTCTGTGCTCAATTGAGACCATCCGTCACTGTCAAACGGTCGCGATATCTACAGCGCGTTTCTCTCTCACTCGCCCAGCAGAACCCGTCTCTCGGTGTTCGGTGTCAATAGGCATGCACGTTCTTGAAGCCTCAGAGATGTCTCCACACAGCGATGCAAGCCGATGACCCTGAATAGTCGATATTTCAGGCCGTTCGCATCGCTCTCCGAGACACAGAGAAGCATTCTATCAGTCAAGCCGTAGCACGATTGCCTTGTTCGTATCAGGCCAGTCATGGTCGATGCACTCCTGCGGGGCAAGCCGAAGAGCTTTTTGACAACGGCCACCAAGCCTCTGCAAGTCCAGGGGTTTGAAGCGGCCGCATCGCATAATAAGCACTCAATTGATTGCGCACCAACGCGGCGTGCTTATTCGCACACACAAGTCAAATCAACGCCGTAACGCCCGGCTCTGAGTTCAGATCATCATCCTACAACGGACTCTAATGGCCTTCAAAAAATCATAGGAAAGCGTGTTTCAAGGGTATCGTATCTAATAGCTATGGTTTGTTATACAAGTCGTACAAGCGGCGGACCACCTGCAGAAGGTGTCAAGCCTTAAGCCTGTCTAAACCGCCATGAGCACAACCTCAATGCGGGGCATGCCGTGGAAAGGCTACACATGCATGCAGCGGATGAAACCCTGCCGTACGACGTGAACCCTTCTTTGAGTGTCCATAACACTGTGACATGCTGTCAGTTTTATTGATACGAAACAATGGAAGACTTTCTCATAATCAAGTCCTTGATTCATACCCGATTTCAGAACCTTCAGTCTCTCTGAATTGTCAATCCCGTTGATCACAACACCAGCGCAAGTGAGAGGTGGGAATCAATAATGCAACTTAGCACACTCCTTGCAACCTGTATCGTCTCTCTAGCTACTTACTATGTAACAGCTTCAATACTTGCCTGGCGGCGACTCCAGGAATTCAAGGGGCCATGGCTGGCATCCTTCTCCTACCTCTACATGGCAAAATCATCTTTCAGCGGTCGTGGCTATAAAGTCTGGTACGACGTGAGCAGCAAATACGGTCCCCTCGCCCGCATCGGACCAAACGATCTGCTCACCGATGACCCGGAGATCATCAGGCGGCTCTCGGCCACGACGTCCCAATACAGGAGGTCGTCTTGGTACGAGCCCACCAGGATCGATCCGTATGACCACAGCATGTTCAGCCTGCGCGACAACGTGGCACACGACAAACTCAAAGGCAAGACGGCGGCTGCCTATAGTGGCAAAGAGAACCCGGCGCTTGAGGCGGAAGTAGACTATGTCCTAGCTGAGTTGGTCGACAAGATCCGAACGAAATACATATCGACGCCAGGGGATCTGCGGCCGCTGGATTTGGCGGTCATGGCGCAGTATTTCACTCTGGACTCTATTACGAAGATTGCGTTTGGTGAGAGTTTTGGATTTCTAAGTCGCGAGGAGGATGTGTACCATTATCTACACACGATCGAGTCAATCGCTCCAGTAGCTGCCATGACGGGAGAGATCCCGTTGCTGTGCAGCATCGTGGCTTCGCCGTCTGTGCTGAGGCTTGCGGGCCCGAAGAAGACTGACAAGTCAGGCATTGGAAAACTTATGGCGTCAGTTCGCGCAAGCATCAATTTGTGTTAGACAGGGTTTTGCTAACTCGGCCACAGTGTTGCTGCTGACATCGTATCCAAGCGCTTCGGCCCGGATGTGAAAGATCAAAGAGACATGCTAGTAAGTTGAATGAACGCAAAGCTCTTGCCACGAACTAAGCTTGCTCGACAGGGAGCATTTGTCCGAAATGGCCTTACGCAGAGGGAATGCGAGACCGAGGCTCTGTTTCAAGTAGTTGCTGGTTCCGATACGACCGCAACTTCAGTACGGGCAACACTATTATACACCATGACCACTCCTCGAGTGTACACTGCTCTGCAGAAGGAGATTGACGCAGCCAAGATATCTACCCCTATCACCAGCGACGAAGGACTACGACTGCCGTATCTCCAAGTCAGTCTACTCATGCACCAGAACCTTACTACATGTGACTAAATAGCGATAATTGTTTTAGGCTGTCATCTACGAGGGAATCAGGATCTGGCCTCCATTCACAGGCCTTCCCTTCAAAGAGGTCCCCCCGCAAGGCGACACCATCAACGGCCGATTCATACCGGGCGGGACACGCATCGCGCCCAGCAACTGGTCGCTCATGAGGCAAAAGTCCGTATTTGGCCAAGACACCGATGTTTTTCGCCCTGAAAGATGGCTCGAAGTCACCGAAGAGCAGCGTTGCGAGATGCGACATGCGGTTGAGCTTGTGTTCGGATACGGCAGATGGGCGTGCGCTGGGAAGCCTATTGCGTTTCTCGAACTGAACAAGATCTTTGTGGAGGTAAGTCTTGGCTGCGAGCTTGTAGCTTCCAAGTTGACATTGCGGTAGTTGTTGAGAAACTTTGATTTCCAGCTGATCAACCCGGCTCATCCTTGGACCAGTGTCAACCATAACTTGTTCTTGCAGAAGAATATGTGGGTGGCTGTTTCGGATAGGCGGAAGAGTGTCGGCTGAAGACTGTGCCTCCCAAATCATAATCGGTTCCGGGCTGTAGAAATGACCGAGACTTGACAACAGATAGCTGTTGATTCAGATGAATGAATAACTTCTTATGGGTTGGGCGCCGACTATCTCGGGGTTAAGACCCGTACAACTCCATCACTCGCGGTGCTAGAATCTCAGCCCACATCTGGTAACCTCTTTCGTTGAGATGAACGTGATCCGCAAGATGCTGGCCTTTGTCCAAATCCGCTACCGGAGGTAGGTACTCAATCCTTGCGTAGCCAAACTCTTGATTCATGGCCATAATCAGCAAGCATACTTTCTCGTTGGCTTCATCAACTAGTTGATCTCCAATGTCCGTACGGTAAGTGAGGCCAGAAAACAGCATTTTCGTCGTTCGAGAGGATATTTTCAGAAGTGTATCCAGCAGTAGCCGCATCTTGTCAACATCCGCATCGACGAGCCCTTTCTTCTTTTGCAGATTGTTTGTCCCTGCACTCACAACCCAAAGCTTGACGTTCCTGCCTTGCAGCACCTCGGCGAGACCCTGAAGATCCCTGCTTCCATCCTTGTTACCGATGAGTCGGTAGAGCATATTTTCTATTCTGTCACCACCGACACCAGCGTTAAAGACGCCACGCAGCCTCTCGAGAGTTTGTCCTCGCGTCTTGCTAAGTTGCCGAAGAGTCGCGTCGTCCAGCATAATTGATGATGGCCATGGCTGCAAACTTGGAGTAGACCCTGTCGTTGTCATGCGTTCGATCGTAGAATCTCCAAATAGAACGATTGATGGTTCGGAAGGATGATATTCGAGAAGAGGTAAGTGAGATGATTGAGAAGTTTCATGTGAGCGTTGCTTGTATTTTGCGTGTGGGCGGAGCCTACGCTCTAGCTCGTCGAGCAGCCCTTGAGGATCGTTTTGAGCCGTTGAGTTCATAGTGTGATCGCGTTTTGATTTGCGAAATAAGTCTTTAGAAGGAAGGAGAACTCGAGTTTGTGCATGAATTTGTTTCGACGTTATGACCTCTTCAAACTGACTCATTGCTGGCGGTGCCTGCTGCGCCTCGGACCATGAGCAGCTCGGCGAGACCAATCAGGAAACAACTGGGATTTGTCCAGGTAAAAAAATTGAAGAGCACATATATGCGTTCCTAGGCCATATCACTTGACATTACCATTCTATGACAATTACAAACCAGTTTGACCGGCCGCGATCTTTTGTTCTCAAAAGGCTTTAATTCCATGCTCGGTGAAACCTCAGGCTACATAGCTTTTGACGAATATGTACAGTTGTTGTTGAAGTTGTATCTAGAATGCATTCTGAAATCATGCCAATATAGCTTCCATAATGGAATTTCCTTATTGACGCTGCAAAGGATCAATTTAAGCAGTTAACGGTCTTCGCCAGTGTTCCAATTTACGCTCTCAAGGTCCTCTAGGTCAAGCTCTGCCGGGACTCAATTGCTTTTTCTTCACCACGGTTCAGCACACTCGACACACAAATCGGAGGCAACTTCACCCCTCCTTTACATCCACCATACCGTGGTCGTGATTAGCCGGCGTCAAAGCCTAAGCGCCACCATGTGTCTAACCTTTCCTTTCCAGCGGTATTGGCAACGTCGCCCTTGAACGCAACCGCCGGATTTCTGCAGATGATGTCTCTCCTGATTGCGAATTACTAACACCTTTCCCGGCTCAGACTTCTTAGCTGCGACTCGTCTGACGCAGAGCTAGACATGATGAGCAAGCTTGTTTTGCGGCGAAGAAAATGGAACACCTTGCTACCATTTGCCGTGGTGCTCACTATCGTTTTCCTATGGCGAGCTCTTCTTCTTGAAACCATGCCGTTTCAACGGCCCGGTCCTACATCAGAGGATGGATACTCTCCAAGTGAGGGGAATTTCATCGATACCGTTGACGACCCGGACTTTCTGTGGAGGAAGGTCCAAGTGCACTATCCCGTAGCTTCCATGTTTCCTATCCCAACAGGCAAGGGTCTACGGCTACCACCAATACAGAAAGTTTTCCCAAAAGAAACACCAGAGGAGCGACTGGGTCGCTTAGAGAGGCAAGCAGCTGTCAAACAAGTATTCGGTCGTTGCTGGGAATCTTACAGGAGATTTGCATTAGCAAGGGACGAAGTCACCCCCATCAGCGGCGGTGCCCGTGATACATTCGGAGGATGGGGCGCTACCCTTGTTGACAGTTTGGACACTCTCTGGATCATGGGCATGCGAGACGACTTCGAACGCGCCGTGAACGTCGCAGTTACTCTTAACTTCGAGACCACGATGATGGAGGAGGTCAATGCCTTTGAAACGAACATTCGTTACCTCGGTGGCTTTTTGGCCGCGTACGACCTCAGCGGAGACAAGCGACTTCTAAGCAAGGCCAAGGAGGTTGGTGACATGCTGTATGCAGCCTTCGATACGCCGAACAGGATGCCCATCACACGTTGGCGCTTACACGAGGCTGCCAATGGTACGGGGCAAGTCGCTCAAGACAATGTCTTGCTCGCAGAGATGGGGTCTTTTTCGATGGAGTTTACAAGACTCTCCATACTCACCGGAGATGCCAAATGGTTTGACGCGGCCCAGAAGATCACCAACATATTTGCCGAGCAGCAAGACTCTACTCTCCTTCCTGGCATGTGGCCAATCCTGGGCAGTGCCAAAGATGGACTCTTCAATCAGCATAATGCATTCACACTGGGAGCCATGGCTGACTCGATGTTCGAATATCTCCCGAAGACGTACGCGCTTTCTGGAGGTCTTCTGTCTATCTACAAGTCCATGTACGAAAAGGCTATGGGGGCGGCGATGAAGCATAATCTCTTCCGGCCCATGGTACCCGACGAGAAAGACATTTTGGTATCTGCAATGGTTAACGTACACTCCGAAGACGGTCAATCGGATGTGGAACTAGACCCAGAAGGACAACATTTAGTATGCTTCGTTGGTGGCATGCTGGCAGTTGGGGCGAAGCTCTTTCACCTTCCCGAGCATCTGGAGAAAGCGCAGAAACTGGTTGATGGCTGCATCTGGACCTACCAGGCGCTTCCTCTTGGTATCATGCCGGAATCATTTCACATGTTGCCCTGTCCATCTGAGAAGGCTTGCCGATGGGATGAAGAGGCTTGGAAGAAAGAGGTCCTCCGGAAGCATGATAGGGAGACAACAGACATCAGTGAAGCGGATGCTATAATTTCAGATGAGCGACTGCCGAAGGGGTTTACAAAGATTGGAGATACAAGATACATTTTGCGACCAGAAGCTATTGAGAGTGTTTTCGTTCTCTACAGAATTACGGGCCGCAAGGATTTGCTCGAATCTGCATGGAAGATGTTCCAGGCGATCGAGAACAATACCAAAACGGAATTCGCGAACGCTGCATTAAGCGACGTCACAGTGACAGACGGTAATCCACTCAAGACCGACTCAATGGAGAGCTTTTGGATGGGCGAGACGCTCAAGTACTTCTATCTCGTTTTTAGCGAGCCGGACCTGATTAACCTGGATGAGTATGTCTTCAACACGGAGGCCCACCCGCTCAAGAGGCTTGTCCCGTGAATAGTCGTTTTGTTCTTGTAGAGCGCCCGAGTCATCTTTAATGTAATAGCCCTCACGGCCTTGTTGTCTTTTGAGATCCACGGTGTTTTCATTGTCTAGCATTAAAGGCCTCATTTAGGGTGACAGTGAGACAATAGCCTACGAAGAAACCCATGATACATGTAATGATTGATTATTAGTGCAACGATTTTTAAGTTTGTTTTCCTTTTCGATCCCTCACAAACATGCATATATAGTTTTCCTGGGCTCAACTTCTCGGATATAGCTGATCCGAGATGCGGCTGTATCAATGCAAAGGCGATGATCATCCCCCCCCTAAACCACTTAAGAACGCCAAATTCACGATGCCCATTCAATTTTTGCTTTCCTGTTTCTTGTTTCTTTCGTAAGAGGGACCACTGTCTTGCCCTGTTCGTGGCCCCAATTTTGTGGAGGATCGTAATGTTGATACTCTCACGCGTCATCGTCGCCAACAAGACGAATTGTGCCCTCCGCAAGTAGGCCATGTGACCAATACCCATCTAAGACGACACTGGTTTCAGGAATCTTCCTATGGCTGACCAGCAGCCATAGTCCGAAGACCGCCGTAGCAAGAATATCGAGAACAGCGAAGGCGATGATCTCTGTATTGACCGAGGTCTTCCTAGCACCTTCGGTAATTCCCCACACACTAACATTATCAGTCTCCACTCGCAATTCGGGGAAAGGTGGCAAGAACTTACATCGGGTAGGCAGTCCACACAACGAGGGTGTACAAACCAAGTGAGCTAAAGAGCTTGACGACATTGTTGCCTCTAGCAGATACAACTCGAGAACCATGAAGGGCAATGTGCCAGATAACGAAGAGGTAAGAGATGCATGCAATTGCATACCAACCCCATCTCTGGGCAGATCTCTCGCGCCCAAAAGCAGCGAAGAGCCCGCTGAAGACCATGATCAGGTCCGCTGCAATGGCCATGAGTGTATTCGCTCCGTTAACGCCGGCAAGGAGAGCCAGATCCAAGAGTATGAGTGGCGTGGTAAGAGCCATATTCACATAACGAGCCCAATAGACCTCTCGGCACACATCGTGGTATGTGTCCGGGACTTCGTCATGGTGATCTTTGACAGACACGCAACTGAAAGTAACTCCGTCGCCGGTCGCCATGGCGAAGTATGACAAAGCGGCAATGATTGTGAACAAAGTCGTCACAATATGATAGACGCGTTGTGAGACGGGAACTCTCCATGCTAGGCCGGTGAAGACAGCAGAGAACACTACCATGAGAGCAAAGACAACCCAAAGAGTGCGAAATCCTGCCTCACTTGCCACTTGATACTCCGTTGGAGTTGCTAATAATCATTGCGTAAGTAACAGACACGTAACATCAATTCGAGGACAGGACATACGAATGACTGTAGGAATAGGCTTAATGGGCCCACCGGTGGGTATTGGCTTCACGATGGTGCCGGTTGCTAGCATCTCTGCGACTTGTTGTGGATCGATCATTGTGGCTGTTTTCTTTGCTAATGGCAAATGTTCGAGAACAACTGTGGCTCACCCCGCATCTTAGACAGAGGAGGACGGCTCCCTCATTTAATAGGAAAACAGAACGCAGGCAGCAATGGCAGGCAAAAAGCTTCGCACGCCTGACGTACGTACAAAACCAACGTCATCCATTACTTAAGAGGCTCGATCGTGCGTGGCCCCCTCTTCATTCTTTGAGAAGCGAGTGTGGGGTAAGCAACCTGAAACTCCGCATTATTGGAGTCTGGGGACGTCATTTGACCACTGAATCACCGCCTGCAGACGGTAGGTCCCGAAGGATACCCCATGGTCAATTGGTTGATCCTTAGGCCTTGTCGGCCGAGAGAGTCGCCCGAGACTTTGTAAATCCGAATATGTTGCAGTATCTCCAAAATGCGAGTGTCAGTGTCACGCATATGCATCTTCTCTCGGATCACTTGGACTAGTTCAAGAACACTTCACTTCAACCATGTTCGCAATGGCTTATCGCTAGCTGGACTCGGATGATGATAGATCGCTTAGCACAGACCAATCAACCCTAGATGCCCACTTTGTTTTTCCACGTATGGGGTAAGGCGTCTTCTTTTCGGCCCTGCGAGCCGCCTGCCGGGTAAATAGTATGATCTGGCCAAATCGATATAAAACTCTGCGCTTGCAGAGCCTCAGCATATCTCCCGATGCATTCTATATTAACCTCAATATCAAGGCCCCAGATTCGATATACTCAGTTGTAACTTACTACGTGTTCTATTCGCAAGGAGGCCCGCCCGTCTCGTCAAGATCAATATATCATCTAATCGCCATGGAGGGACTGGTATCCCATTACGAGCTGAGTATGATGCAGCGAATGCTCATCATCTGGCTCTTTATCATCTGCGGCTTCTTCTTGGGCTTCCATTTCTCACAACAATATTATGAGAATCCGTACCCATGGGCAAGATTGACCAAAGAGACCAAGTAAGTACATAGGTAGATTGTGAATTTTGCCCGGCAATCCTCGCATCCTGTGCCGAGAACACCCCCCCTCCCCCCCATCTCCCCATTACTCTGCACTGGCTTTTCGGTGGCGTTGAGCATGTGCTAACATCTTTCCAGGCCTTATTGGTACACATTTTATGTCTTTGAGGCGTTCCTGCTATCACAGATATCCTATCGAGTGCTGTTGATCAGCATGTCTGGAAAATTCTACGGCTATGAGGAGCAGATTCTTAATAGCATCTGGATGGGCTTATTGGGTCTAGAAGTCTTGATGGTAGTTGGTCTTACAGCTCAGAGGCTGCTAACAAGTGTGGCTTCAAAGCCTAAACAGAAGAAACAGTGAGCTCATGGGGAGATGGGATTGCCGCGCTAGGCACCGCTCTTGAGGAGTCATGGGGAATGAGTCAGAAACTGCAAGACCAGGATAGCAATGTTTGCTTTTTGCACCAGCCGACCCTATCACTTGCTGGCATTATTGCACTGACGCGCGCCACAAAGTGGCGATCCGCCTGATGAAACTGCATTTAGCGAATCATAGAGATTCTTTCCCTTATCTAATATTAGAATGAGGACTGGATCACCCGGTGGCCGTTTTGCAATCTATGTCCATTGTTTAAATCCACAGACACATGCTGAATAGCCAATGAAAAGGGGCTCCGAGTGAAAGTGACTGCCAGAGACAGATGAAGTGAGGGGAACATACTTGTCAAACTGCTATCATTTGAATTATTTTTAGCTGCTGCACAAGCTGCTTAAATGCCTGTTAACCCCAGCTTGGGAAACAATGCTACTTGTTGTGCTCTATTGTCATCTCGAAAAAGGCGCACTTCTTACTGACACCAAAGAGTTGTGTTTGCTGCAGCCGATCGAGGAGATGTATGGTCTTTAGGTGCATCACATTACATTAACTTGTAGAGCGAGCTTTTTTAATGCTCACCCGAGCACGCTGGTTCAGGTAATCAGAAGGAACCACTTTGAGTAAGCTGGGGCGCCATGGTGGGTGACTTGGGTGACCCGGGTGATTTTGGCTTAGCCACCAAAATCTCAACTAATGTATGAATGGTAGTATCTAGATCGTGATAATCTCTAACAAGAATTCTTTCTTCGAAATATTTGGAGAATTGGCATTACTCTTTCACCTTCGATTTGAAGACCTAAATCGTCGTTTTTAGAATTTTTCTTTCTGTTTAGGTTTATGTATCTAAAGTATTTATTTAGAAATATGTTTTCTATCTCATATAATCGTGGACTAGTCTCCGCATTGGTCGAGAAGCTGGGCTGCAACATTTCTATTCCAGAAACTGCCAGCTGCAGCCTTGATCATATGGAAGTTGTTAGGCCTTTCATATTCTCATCACAAGTTCGGCCCATATAATGCCGAATGCCGTAGTTTCGCTGATCTGTCTCCCTAGATAGTGGCTTTTGGTGCCTATACTGGAAATCTTTTGTTGTTGCCTCGCTTTCTAAAAGGGCCAGGGACGGCCATGACCCAGACTTTACCCCAGCCGAATCGCCAATGCCTCAAAGTTTGACCAAGATTGCTGTTTGACCGCATGAGACCTGCCAGATAACACTCGGATTGAGAGTTCATCATGAACTGATTGCCCTCCATTTAAGACTCTTTGGAAGTATCTAGTCTACGGCGGTTTGAAGGGGACTGGGGGCCGAAGCGAACCGCACAACTGTCTTTTTCACGAATCGGGAACCATCCAATCAATCATTTGAGGCGCCCACAACCCTGCCTAATTCCTGGGCTACTTTGGAAGCTTTCATAGACACAATCCCTCTGCTAGAGTATGAGGCGCCAACCATGCGATGAGATGCTTCTTCGGCATAATACCGTATTTAACGAAAGAAAATAGAGGCAACTCCAAGGTGCTCCAAGATTTGTACTTCGTCAAGCATTGGCAGATTTTGTATTGCCAGCGACTCTGTTTCGTCGGCCATCAGTCGTGGAGCTGTAGTCTTAAAATCCACTCCTGATCATTTTCTGCCTGTATGGTATCTCAGATTGTAGGTCTCAAGAGATCGCATCCGTGTGTACTCTAATCTCGGGCAAGGAGGCTTCTGTTGGCGATCCTCTTTGATCGTCTGCGTGATCAGCCTCGACAATAATTGGCAGCCCTGAGATGGATGATGATGCGTGATAGTTCGAGTCAAAATCAGTATAGCTAGGAGGCTCGGTATTGGTGCTGTTCACTAGTGGCTTCCGCATGACTACTCTCGTCGTAGACCGATTGGCGACCTTACATCTAGACTTCTTTGTAGTGATTGTGTCGCTTTCGTTGATTGATGGGCTGGGCCGATAAAGGACCATATTGCTTGCCGTGACCCATTCATCATTGGCATCTTGAACTAGAGCCCCAATTAGTATTCTCACTAAAAGCTGAGTCTGGACTTGCAACTACTAACCTTGTAGCGCAAATGTCTTCATGATCTCTGATTCTGTGAACCCTTCCTTTCCATGACTCTGATGGGGATTGTTAAAATGTGTCATAGCTTGTCCCTTCTCGAA